TATAATAAAACTAGTATCCAACCTCCCAAACTTCCCACTCCTTCACGTCCCTCACCCCTATATTCCCTAATTTCCAACTCCTTCATGTCCCTTCTCCATTTCCCCCACTTATCTTAAAATTAACCTACACATCTGTCAGAGCACACCCACACATCTATATAACACACTCACAAAAGGGAGGAGAAAAAAAAAAGCAAAAAAGGAAGAGAAGGAGGGGAAGAAAAGGAAAAATTTTGGAAGAGAAGAAAACCTTCAGTGGAAGATCCCAAGAAAAACCAACTAATCCCTTCTTCTCAAAACAGACACACACACACACACACTCACAAAAGACGGCAGTCATTTTTTTTTTTCCAGAATTAGCAATTTTCTTCAGTTCCATCTCCAAAAAACGCCGTTGCTTCTTCTTCGGCAAAAGACCACCCCTGACTTCAAAGAACTTAGCCGTTTTCACCTTTCTTGCACCCCAAAAAAAGAGAACAACCAGCCACTGTCGAGGTCGCCGGTGGGGTTTTCGTTCACGGTTCCGGCTCCGGTCAAAGGTTCATTCTTGTTCGAACTTTGAAAAGCAGTCAAACGATTGTAAAGGAAATTCCAGCAATGATATGAGTTGTATAGTAGAATTCCTTTTCCAGGTATACATTATATAGCCTGTTTTGTATACTAAATCAGTTTTGACTCACATATTATGGCTAGAATATGAAGAGTTTATCTGGAAATTAATGGTAAACAATTTCAAATATATGTGTTGAGCTGATTTGCCATTTGGACGGCTAAACAAAGATTTTTCAATTGGCTCTTTAGATGATTCCGTTTTCTTTTATTCTTTTCGTTGCTGGACAATATGAAAACATAAGTTTTGTTTCTTCCTTAGTTCTATTAGTTTTTTTTTTCTTTCTTTAAATATTTTTCACTAAGAGTGAGAAGCATTTACATAATTTTTGGATAGAGCAACTTCTCAACTTTGAAGCTAGCAGAAGAATAAGAAAAATGAGAAAAAATATTTGTGAATATCATTTGTCTTTCTTTACAGAATAAATATTGAGCTGTTAAGTCTTGATATAGTCGCAATTGCAAATCTCTTTCCCATATACATCTGCTAAAGCAAGATAGAGGAATATGGTGCACAAGAACGGCACTTTGTGAAGTCAAATAGATGAAAACATGACATACTAGAGTTTTCGATTAATTTTTGGTCTTGAAAAATGAAAATGGACTTTTGATATATATAGCTATAGTTAGTCACATAATTTTTTTTGTTAGCTTTTTCTTTTCTTGTTTTGGTTAGTGAATACTAATGGGATTGAAAATTCTTAGCCGGCCTTTGTCCTTTACTGTTTTCTTTGGCGTAATATAATCACAATTCCCAAAAT